TGCTGGTCTGGGACCACACTCCGAAGAGCAAGGGCATAGATGGAAAGGTATCGACCACTTGACTGGTGAGGGAGGAACAGTCCCAGAGTAGGGAGGTGGCTTGCTGAAGGTCACATGGGAGTGACAGGTGGGACCAGATTCCACTCCCAGCCTTCCCTCCAAGCTGCCCTAGAGCTCTCAGCTCTGCTTCCTATTGCTTCTCCCAATTTTAACCATCTCCTATCACCACTGTGCAATGGAGTCATGTGAGGGCCTTTAAAAGAACACTGATACCTGATCCCCCACCCTCAGAGCCCCATCATTGGGTCTGGAGTGTAGCCTGACTTGGGGGACTTTTTAAAAACTCCTCCAGTGATCCCAACTCACAGCCAGTGTCAAGGGCCACTGATGTAGAGGTGGTGGGTAAGTCTCACCCAAATGCCCTCCTCAGACCCTGCCTGCCCCTCTAAAGCATGAAGAAAACCACCTAGCAGCAACTCCAGAATAAAACATAAGGATCACCAGTTGGGAAACGGCACTTAACAAGGCCACAGCTGGCCACAGCACTGTCTCAAGATATTAGGTATCACAGTCAGGAACCCAAACTGCCTTGAGAGGAGAGATTTCCATCTCATCACATGTCCAGAGGTGCAGGTAAACATATGCTCTATGCCTGAAAGCCCCAGGGGCCAATGTGGGAAAACCTGGACCCTCCAGAGTACGATGCTCCAAGTTAGTGTAAGACTGTTAGTGGGCATCTTTTTCTTTTTAAGATTTTATTTATTTATTCATGAGAGACAGAGAGAGAGAGAGAGAGAGAGAGAGAGGCAGAAGACACGGGCAGAGGGAGAAGCAGGCTCCCCCTGGGGAGCCTGATGAAGGACTCGATCTCAAGACCGAGGGATCACGCCTGAGCCAAAGGCAGATGCTCAACCACTGAGCCACCCAGGCATTCTATTACTGGGTGTCTTTAAAGACAATTTCTGAATCAGATGTCAGGCCAAATGAGGCTGGTTAAAAAAAAAAAAAAAAAAAAAAGGATCCCTGGGTGGCGCAGTGGTTTAGCGCCTGCCTTTGGCCCAGGGCACGATCCTGGAGACCCGGGATCAAATCCCACGTCGGGCTCCCGGTGCATGGAGCCTGCTTCACCCTCTGCCTATGTCTCTGCCTCTCTCTCTCACTGTGTGCCTATCATAAAAAAAAAAAAAAAAAAAAAAATTTAAAAAAAAAAGTAAGAAAGAAAGAGCGAGCTGATGACTTTAAGCTTAATGATCCCTGTAAGGAAAGAATTAGAGATGAGAAAGCCACTGAATCCAATCAGAGAAGATTTCCATTCTCTCTGAACTTGGTGAATGAAAGGGGAAAAGCTTTAGAGATGAGCCTACAGCTGACAAGTGGGGCTCTGGAGCCAGATTCAACCCTAGAACCTTCTGCGGACCCACACTGCTCCTGACTCTGCTGCATCTCAGTGGCTCACCTATAAAGGGGGACGACACCACTGTCTGCCTTGTAGGGGTGCTGTGGGGTTAAATGAGTTGGTATATGTGACATCCTTGGAACAGTGTCAGGTGCTAGTAAGTGCTCAATAAACAAAATACAGACTTCATTTTCACATCATGTTTCCTCTGGTCTAATCTTCATTTCCCTTTTGACCTCATTTTTAAGCCCATTTATGTTTTTAAAAAATTGTAAAATAGAGGTACCTGGGTGGCTCAGTCAGTTAAGCATCCAACTCTTGATTTTGGCTCAGCTCATGATCTCAGGGTCGTGGGATGAGGCCTCACATCAGGCTCCATGCTCAGCATGGAGTGTGCTTAAGTTTCTCTCTTTGTCCAGAACCCTCCGCCCATGTACTCTCACTTGCTCTCTCCCTCTCTCTCAAATAAATAAATAAATCTTTAAAAAAATTGTTGGAAAGTATGTGTTTCTGTCAGCTTCCCCAAGTTCCTTCTGGAATGAGGCAGGGTAGAACTAGACACTCATGTTAACTAACTGCTGAGCATTAACTATGTGCTCAGAGCCCCCTGAGCTGGGGCTTAGCTTGGTGCAGGGAGTGAGGGGGGCCTCCCTCAGACAAAGCCACATGAGGAGCTGAGGAATTCATACTTGATCCTCAGAGCAAGGACCCTGTTTGAAGGTTGAAATCAGGACATGAGAAAATCAGGTTAACTGTGGAAAGCTCACTACGGAAAAAAGAAAAAAACAGGTCAACTTCGGAAAGCTCACTCAGGGTTCTCTCAAGAAGGTCTGGGGTCTCCTGGAGGAAGGCTTGAAGCAATGGAGGCCGAACCAAGGCACTGCTGGAGGGCGGGGGGAGGGCTGGCATCATGGGCATGTGACCTATGCAGTTATGTAGGATCCAAGCTCTGAGGGATCCATGCTTATTTTAATGCTCTGGTGTCACTGTCGTGAAATCCTCAACACTTTTCCAACAAGGGGTTCTGCATTTTCATTTTGCACTCGGCCCTATAGATTACATGGTGGGCCCTACCTTACAGAGATACCTCTCGCCTCTACATCTACCCTACCAGGTGAAGCAGTAAAGGTTATCACTTATCTTTAAAAAGAAGCTGAAGCTCTGAGAAGGTAAACTAATTGTCCCATGGCTTGGCTGGTCAGCAACAGGGTGGCAGCATACCCAGGGCTTAGGGCTTCAGCTCCGGGGCCTCCACTGTGGGAAAGCTGGTCATCTCCGCCCCGTCTGAAAGCAGTACCCAGGCTCCTCTGGGAACCACCCCCCACCCCCACCTCAAGCTGAATGGGAGGTAGGTGCTACTGACCCCTGCCAGCCGGAACTGGGTATGGTCAGAGCCAACACCCACGGATCTGGGTCATATGGCCAGTTCCACAACAGCAGCCAGCCAGTGATTAATGAAACAATTCAACAGGAGCAAAGCAAACACAAGTTATCTTTGCAGCCCCAGGATCCTGCCTCCTCCAACCCCCAGAAACAGTTTAGAGAGAGCAAATTCAAGGAAGGAAGGGAAAATTCTCCACCAATAGCTCAAAATCTGCCCAGTAAAGGAAGAGTTGGCGTACCAAAATCACACCTTGTCTTTGACTTCCTTTGAACAGACCTGGAGAGACATTTCCAAGGGCGTGTCTGGCCCAGATGCTGTTCCAGGCACTGGAATTAGGATAGGGAAGAAAAGAGATAACAATCTTTGGCCTAGGGGGCTCATGTTTTAAGGGGAGGGGGAAAGAGAATGAGCATGATAATTAAAGTGAATTACACAGTGTTAGGAAATACAGGTGCTTACATGAAATAATACAAATAATGAAAATAGTGGTCAAAATATATTGGGTGCTTACTGTGTCTAAAATGCTTTACACACATGGACTCGTTTAATCCTCTCAACAATGGGTACTGTTCTCGTGCCCATTTCACAGACAGGGGAACACACAGGAGGTAAGCTGCACAAGGTCCCATATGCGCTGAGAAAAAAAGGAGTATTGATAAGAAAGGGCAAGAGGGCAAGAGACTGCTATCCCCTCCTCTCCCCGCCTCCTCCTGATTCTGGCTAGTTGTATGGCGAGCAAAACAGGCAGGAAACCTGGTTTATCTTCCAGGCCTCACACTGGAGAGAGTGTCCAATCGCAGTAGGCCCCTCTCCATTCCCCAACAGTTCTTAAGAGATCGGACCGGTGGTGGGACCCTCCAAGAGTTCCCTTTTCTCCCAGAGTTAGCTAACAGCCGCTGAGTTCAAATCTCAACTCCATCAGTTCACCCCTATATGGCTCTGGGCAAAAAGCTTCTATGGGCAGCCTCTCATTCCTTTGATTTAAAATGAAGATTAAAACTCCCTCTCAGAAGACATAGACATGGCCAATATGCACATGAGAAAATGCTCTGCATCACTTGCCATCAGGGAAATACAAATCAAAACCACAATGAGATCCCAACTCACACCAGTGAGAATGGGGAAAATTAACAAGGCAGGAAACCAGAAATGCTGGAGAGGATGCGGAGAAAAGGGAACCCTCCTACACTGTTGGTGGGAATGTGAACTGGTGCAGCCACTCTGGAAAACTGTGTGGAGGTTCCTCAAAGAGTTAAAAATAGACCTGCCCTACGACCCAGCAATTGCACTGTTAGGGATTTACCCCAAAGATTCAGATGCAATGAAACGCCGGGGCACCTGCACCCCGATGTTTCTAGCAGCCATGTCCATAAAAGCCAAACTGTGGAAGGAGCCTCGGTGTCCATCGAAAGATGAATGGATAAAGAAGATGTGGTTTATGTATACAATGGAATATTACTCAGCCATTAGAAATGACAAATACCCACCATTTGCTTCGACGTGGATGGAACTGGAGGGTATTATGCTGAGTGAAGTAAGTCAATTGGAGAAGGACAAACAATGTATGTTCTCATTCATTTGGGGAATATAAATAATAGCGAAAGGGAATATAAGGGAAGGGAGAAGAAATGTGTGGGAAATGTCAGAAAGGGAGACAGAACATAAAGACTCCTAACTCTGGGAAACAAACTAGGGGTGGTGGAAGGGGAGGAGGGCGGGGGGTGGGGGTGAGTGGGTGACAGGCACTGAGGGGGACACTTGAGGGGATGAGCACTGGGTGTTATTCTGTATGTTGGTAAATTGAACACCAATAAAAAATTAAAAAAAAAAAACTCCCTCTCATAGGTGACAAGGGAACAGACATCAAGTCTTCAGAGCCTGTACAGGGGTAGACACCCCACTCCTGGGACCTGCGATGCCCTCCTTCCCTTCTCTGCAGTGCTGAGAGGGCAGGGCCACACGTACCCAGCTCTGTACTGTGGGCCACGTGGCAGAGGGCCGAGCAGGGTAAACATCTGATGAATGAACACTGAAGAGGAAGAAGGTAGGTGGAATGGTGGAACCTTCCTTAGAAACTGAACCCCAGGGTTAGCATCTTAAAAAGTCTGGGTTCTCAGTACAAGTGGCTTGTCCTCCAAAGCACAAATACAAAGGGGTGATATCTATTCCCTCTATTCTGTGGTAAGCCCAAGCCCTCAAGAAAATGTATTAAAACAATACCTCATTAAGCAGGGGACCCCAGGCACCTGGGCACTCCAAACCTCCAACTCAACGGGCATCAGGTTGGAAGCTGTGCATGATCTGGGACTCTGGCCCACCCCTCAGTCTAGTTCCCATGAGGTCCAAGGCAAGACCCTCAGCCTGAAGCTTCAACTTCCTCCTAAGGGGTTAGGTGCAGAGTGAAAGGATGAAATGACCAAAAGCGGTAGTTTCCCCAACAAGGTCAAAAATCACTGAAACCTACTAAATCATAGGAGGGGGGTGGAGTCCAGTAATCTTAATTATCAGACTGGTAAGGGGAGGCATTGTGGAACCAGGAAACCATGTGCCAACCATAGCTCTTGTGGCCCGCTGTTAATTGTCAGTATAAGGACTGTCCCTTGTTCCATCGGAGGAACTTTCCTTCTCTGAAACCGCCCTGGATCTGCAAGCATTTGTCTGAGATCCTGGTGCCAGCCTCTGGGCTTCATGGAAGGGGCAGGAGGAAGTCGGTAGATGTCTGTCTGCCACATGGCATAGGTGCCGGGGAAAGGCTGGAGTACCACATCAACCAGCGCATGGAGGTCACTGCCAGGCTTTCTTCCTGGGAAGGCTGTCACTTTACCCTGACTTCACTCTTACCTGTAGAGAGGGAAGGGGCAGGTAAGGAGGAAGAGTTCCCCCGGGGAGGTAGGCATCAGAATCCCTATTTATGGGCGAAGAAATGGCCTTACGAAACTCCTCATCTCCTGACATCCTACGTCTGAACTCTAAACCCTACAAGACTCTGAATTAAATGCTTCTCATGCAACCAATCCTCATGGGTAAGGACCTTATTTTAGCTCCAACCTGCAGGTAGTGAATTTTAGAGATACTGAGAGGGTTCAGACGCTTGCCCAAATCACTCTGTAGCACAGCTTCGGGGAAGTCTGAACCTAGAGGCTTCATCCCTAACTTCTAGAATATACGGAGCCGCTCAGTGGAGGGAGCAGAGCCAGGATTCTAATCCAGCTCTTCCCCGCACTGAAGCCCTGCTATTTTCCTGGCCAGACCCCCACAATGTCACTGCCTCAGGCAAGGGCATCCCCTGGGACCCCGTACCTCAGAGGAAAGTCTGGCGGGGACCCTTCCCAGGCAGGATCTCCGAAGGCCTAGCCTAGCACAACTGCGTGGACCATGAGGCAGCTGGACCCCACAAAGGACCCATTGTAGAGACTGCAGGAAGCCAAGGCCAGGCCAGGCCAGGCCCTCTGGGGAGCCCTGCCCGTGGCTCCTGACCTCCTCCCCTTCCCATGGTGCCCCCATACTCAGCACAGGACCGGGCCGGCAGAGGCCTCCAGTTCTGCCTAGGCTGGGGCGGCCTCAGTCTGTGGAAACCTAAAACCCTGCAGCTGCTGCCGGGCGGTACGGGGCAGCGGACCCCTGCGGATCCCTGGGCGCTCCTTGGAGGTGCCCGGGGCGCACCTGTCAGTAGGGGTGGGGTCCGCGACCGGAGGCTCCGTAAGGGCAGGAGCGGGCGGCTCGTTCGCTCCCCGCTGGGCTGCGCGGGTAGTTAATGGGGGCAGCCGCGGCGGCTCTGCGCGGTGTCCGGGCCGGCTGGGGAGGGGGCTCGGCGGAGGGAAGGGGTGCGGCGGCCGGGAGGCGGGTGCTTCGCCTCCCGCTGCACGAGGGGGCCCCCCGAGGCTCCGGCCGGCTTTGTGTGCAGCGGGGGGCCCGCCCCGGTCGCCGAGCGCCTGCCGAGGCGTGCGCCGGGCTGGGGGCCGCTCCCGCGAGGTGCCCGGGGCCCCTGCGGCCGCGCCCGCCACACTCACCTCCTGAAGTCAAAGGGCATCGTGCCGCCGCCGCCGGGGTGGGAGCGCTGCAGACGGGGGGACGGGGGGACGGGGGCCCGCGGCGCCGCGTGCGTCCCAGCCCGCTGCCAACGCCTCCTCCCGCCGCCCCGCCCCCGCCGGCCGCCCCCGCCCCGCCCCCGCCCCGACACCCGCCGCTCGCCTCCCGCCGCCGGGAAGTGACGCTCCGCGCAGCCCATTGGGCGCTGCCCCGCCCCCGGCCGCCCCTTCCGCCGCCCGGTTAAAGGGGCCCGCGGGCCGGAGGGGGAGGGGCGGGCCTCCGGGGCCGGGGCCGGGGCCGGGGCGCGCGGGGGGCGCGCGGGGGGCGCGCGGGGGGCGCGCGGGGGGCGCGCGGCGGGCTCCTTGGGAGCCGCCCACTGTGTTTTCCTTCCCTTCTCCCCAAGCCTCGGCCTTGCGGAGCTCTTTTGCATCCGTGACACAGTTACCTTGAGTTGTGAGGACTGAATGAATGAATAATCCAGATTTGGGTCGCGCACAGCGTCTAGCTCTAAGAAGGGAGGAGGTCGGCAGTCCTAGACTCATGAAGTGGATCTACCATTTATTTCCCTGCTGTGCCTCTCTGGGAGAGACACTTGGCAACTCTGAGCCCCCACTGCTTTCCACGTCTGCCCAAAGAGACCGATGACATTTGAAGGTTTTTTTTTCTGGGGGTCGGATGAGAAAGCTGGGAGACTGGCTTAGTGCCGTACCTGGCACCCGGTAAGGGCTCCGTCAGCCCAGGTGATTGCGATGGACCACCTGGCTGCCTCTGCTAACACTCTTCCACTTAGGGCTCATCCGAACGGTTTTCACTGAGAGCTGGCTGTGAGCCAGGTCCCTACAGGGCAGGCCGGTTGTCTCACGCAGATTGCAACCTGCTCTGTGACTTGGCCCCCCACACACACCTCGCTGAGCCTCAGCTTCAACCTGCAAAATTCACAGATAGTCAGCATCTCCCTCCAGGATGGGTGGATTAGAGGAGATGGTAGTTGAGGTAACACAAGACTGGAATAAAGGAAACTACTTCTGAACTTCCCCTGGGGTAGTGTCGCTGGCCCCCGCCTCCGAGGTTTCTGTCACAGGGCTTGAAGAATCCCAGGGGAGGCAGGTGCGCGCTCAGGATCTAAAAGCAGGACCAGAGGGCAGTTTCCTCATCTATAAATAGAGGAAAATCACGGTACCTGTTCCTCTGGGAGGATTCAGAATGCACAGTGCCAGCACTGGGTCTGGCGGGGTGGGAGCAATGAACCGAAATCTTCCCCTGGAGCATACACAATGGCCTGACCAGCTGCCTCTCCCTCTCTCTCACCTCCAGCATTTCTTTCTTTCTTTCTTTCTTTCTTTCTTTCTTTCTTTCTTTCTTTCATTCATTCATTCAACAAGTGGCCTGGCAGTTTGGAGAGAAGGAAATTATCCTGAACCGGAAGTCTAGAACGGCAGGAAGGTGTGAGGTCCTTGTGTGGCCCGCCACCAGGCTCAAACCACTCTTTGCTGGGCCTGTACAGGAAGGGAGTCACACAGAGGTAGCTTTTGATCACATGTAACCCCACCTCAAAATGTGGTCCACAGTCTCTCCGGTTGTAGTCCACAGGCCAGCTGCTTGGGCATCATGGAGCAAATTCTGGGTGTGCATTTAGTATGATCTCCGGGAGATTTGTTGGCACATCTAAGTTTGAGAGAGGTGCTGCTGCAAAGGACCTTGTTCCTGGAAGCCAAGAGGGGTAGGGTTTGCTTGGGCTATTCTTTTTGCCTGGAGCACTTCCTTTTTTGTCTCTCACCCTGCTACATGGGCAGTCCCCCAGGACCTATTCTCCCTTTCTTCATAACTGTAAACCATGTGAACAGCACCCAGACCTTGGAGCCATACCACATGGGTTCAGGGTTCATGTTCCAGCTTCTCCACTTACTGACCCGTTCCCCCATTTGTAAGTGTATCTCAGTTTCCCCGCTTGTAAAATGGGGGCAATAGTAGTACCTTCCTCACAGGTCTATTGTGAAGATGAAATGAGTTGATATGTGTCAAGGGCTTAGGACTGTGCCTGACATAGAGTAATGCAAAATAGGGTTGACTGTCAGTATTATTTTTCCATGGTGATGGAGCTCCAATTTTTGGCTGGTCATATAGGTGCTCAGAATAAAAGTTGCATTTTTCAACTCCCTTGCGACTGACTAGGTGTGGCCATGTGACTAAGTTCTGGCCATTGAGATGTATGGGGGAAGCATCTTGTGGCAGCCAGAGGGATAGATGGTAAATATTACCCTCTCCTTTCTCCATATGGCTGCCCAGAATATGGATGCCACCATCCTGAACCACCTGGTGAAGGTCATACAGAGCAGAGCAACAAGATAGAAGGAACCTGGATCCCTGTCATTGAGTGGCACAGTATATGCCCTCAAACATCTTCCCAGACATCTAAGCGAGAGAGAAATAAGCATCCCTATTGTTTAAGCTGTTTAAGCTACCTTTATTTTGGATTTTCAGGCATTTGCATCTAAACCTAATGCTTATACACCTGTTCAGACTGGTGAAGTACTCAACAGCTCAAATATTATATGCAGAATTGGCCAGGCTCCCCGTTATATGTTCACATGGCACCTTGGGAGAGTATGTCACAATTTGTGAGTATTGTTAATTGGCTAATATCTACCTTCCCATCCTGACTGGAAGCTCTCCAGGGAGGATAGATGGCTGTTTGCTCACTCTTATATTCCAGCATCCAACCAGGGCCTGCACATGGCAGAGGTACAATGACTATATGTCAAAGGCTGCATAGAGGCTTCCCAGGGAAGTAGGCCTTCCCACTGAATAGAGAGGATGGGGAGGGAGCACATCCACAAGGATCTCTAGGGGCTGTTGGGGGTCTTTAAGTAGACCAGGCTGCTAGTCCCAGGTAATTCATCTCCCCAAAAGACTAAGATGGGACTAAGGACATCAGATTATGTGGGAAAGCTCTGGATCTCTTTGACCTAAGGAGTGACTTAAAGTTGGGTTTTAGGATTACTAATCTTGTAGGACCCTATGGTAGCCAGCCACCAATGTTCTTCATCTGAAGTTCCCATGCCTTGTGCAATCCTCCCACAACAAACAGGACTGACTTGGGTAACCAACAGGACATTGCAGAAATGACAGTGTATAACTCCTGAGCCAAAGTCACAAAGGGCATTAAGGCTTCCACTTAGGCTCTCTTGAATCACTTATTCTGGAGGAAGCCAGCTTCTTTGTCACAAAGATACTCAAGCCCCACATAGAGGAGTCCGTGTGGCCAGGAGCTGAGGCTTTCCATCATTGGCCACGTGAGTGAGCCATGCTGGAAGGGAATCCTTAGTCCCAGTCAAATCTTCAAAGCTACATTTCTGACCTATAGCCTAACTACAGCTTCACAAAACACCCTGAGCCAGAACCACCAAGCCAAGCTGCCTCTGAATTCCTGGCCCTTAGAAACTATGTGAGATAATAAATGCTCATTTTAAGCTACGAAGTTGTGGGTCATTGATTACTCAGTGGTAAAATTAATACAGGCTCTATCCCCATTTGGTTTTCTATAAATACCTTCTTTTTTTTTAAGATTTTATTTTACTTATTCATGAGAGACACACAGAGAGAGGCAGAGACATAGAAAGAAGGAGAAGCAGGCTCCCCGCTCCCCAGAGCCCGATACAGGATTCGATCCCTGGATCCCAAGGATCATGACCTGAACCAAAGTCAGACGCTCAATCACTGAACCACCCAGGTGCCACCTGTTTTTCTATCAATACCTTCTCCTTGCCTTCCTCCACCTCACCCCCAGCTGGCCAGTCAGACAGTAGTCTAGC